AATATTAATACATACAAATTTAAACTCACTTGACAATATCAAAAAGGAGCAATCATGGGGGGGCAGAGCCTGGATGCCAAGCTGACAAGACGTGCATTGCCTGAGCTCCACAAACCGGGTCAGATACTCAACGATAAAACAGGACCGGAGACGACAGAGCAACCGGGGATACTACAAGAGCTTACGCTACTGGAACGCTGACATCGAGGCTTGCGGTCTACACAGGTGTGGGCTGCGGAGAGACAGCCACTCTCCAAGTCCTTCACCCGGCAGAGTGAAACCTGCACCAAGCTGTTCTCCCCCCCCCCCACCTGGACCGGTGAGGGTCAGCCCGTTCTACCCCTGCCATACTCATAATTCAGCTGGCTATACACGGCTGCCTTGATACATACTAGAGCTGAAGCAATCACACCTAAAATGGCAGCCATGCTTGATTTTACACAGCCTAGCAAAACACACCCGGCGAGAACAATGCCAGACCCCCTTGAACAAACTACTACATAACATGGATCTGCTTTTTGCAAGATTCTGGACAAAACTGGAGCCTCGTGGAGCGGAGACATCGCACCAGTTACAGGAGGAAGGTCACAGCACCGACCAGCCGGAGATGAGCGGGTCCCCTCCGGGTGCACCCCCCCGTAAAGCATTTGAAATTACTCCATGAGGCCCACCTGGGAGTAAGACTACCAGGGCTATAATACCCGTGCATTTGCCAAGGAGGCTGAAGAACCACCAGGAGCTTCCGCTGTCCCTTGAAAGGGAGAGACTTGGCCTCGTGTCAGGGAATCCAAGTCTGTGGCTTTGTGATGCTGGTCTTCCAAAAAGCCAGGGCTAAAGTGCTCCCACGCTCAACTTCTGCCTTGAAAAGCCCCGACAGCCTCCACGCATCCCGAAACCAGGGAATAAGCTGACAATGGACTCTCTGGAAAAGGCCATCTTTATCCTGACATTGGAATGTCTGCTACCACAACTCAATGTGTTTGTTTTATTCTTTTTATGGTTTTCGTATTACTCTTCACCAATAACTCTACCTATGCTTTGGTGGGAAATCTTGTGCTCCCACGGGCAATGCAGATATGATTTTTAGGAGTGTGGCCTACGGGGTTATTCTCAATTGTTACCTTTGCGCAGCAAAAAAAAATGGTTTTGCAAAGAAGCGCATTGTGCAAAAATAGCTGATACCAAGTGTAGTGTAGTAGAATAATATTCATATTTTCTGGCATAATATGTGACAGGAAAGAGTTTTATTCTCTGATAACATTCCATAAAGAAACACTTCAAGCGCTATAACTGCTACATTCCGCTGTAGTGGTTATAGTGCCTGCAGTGCCCTCCCAGAATAATTTGTTAAACAGATTGCCAATTTACCTGGGTCCCCTGGTCACACCCCGTTTCTGGTTTCTCCTGCTGGAAATACTGTACGTCTTCCCTGAGCTAAGAACGGGGCAATATAGGAGCGGCTCTGCTTAGGTCGATGGAGCATCTGGAAACAGGCTGTGCAGCTGTGGGATTAAGGGAGAGCGCAAGGGCACCATAACAACTACAACAGGCTACAGTGGTTATGTTGCTTGGACTGTTCCTTTACTGCAAATTAAAAATAGTTTGCTAAATACATTTGTTCCTGCAATACATACAGTTGCAGATGATGAAAGGCTGATCTACAGCAGAGATTAAGAGCTTATACTCCCATAATACTTAGTCAGCCTTCCTGAGAAAGCATCAAGAGAGTTTTACCTCTGGAACAGCTATAGATCGGCGTTTGACCACCCTAACCAGCCTATAGCGTTACAAGAACTGCCACTCCTATGATGGATACTTGGCTAGTGGGCAAAACAGCATGGGAGTTACAGTCCTTCCAGAGATGGTAGACCAGCCCTAGGCTTCAAGGCTATTCCAATTTGTTGCAGGACTGCAACTTCCATAATTCCCAGCCAGCAGGTCTAAGCTTACAGGTAGTCCATTAGTACTAATAGAAATGTATTGCAGGGGCGGAGTTAGCAGCCATACCGAGAGGACGCCATGCATCGAGGTCCGAGAGAAACCTGCCTAATAAACATTTAAAAAAAAAAAAAAAAAAAGAACTTACTTTTCACGACGCGTTTAACAACAGCCCACTCTAATAGACATGGGACGGCGAAACAAAAAAGCGAAGCCAGACAGGCCTCCATCTACCACGGACATCGGGGATCTCCTACGGCGGCCCCAAAACTTCCAGAGGCCTGAAATGGCGCCACAGCTGGAAGGCCTATACTACTCGTTCAGCGAGGCCACCGAGTTGGAAGAGGACGACTATGGTGATGGAGCGGTAAGCAGACCGACCCACACACACCCTAGCCTCACAGAGGGGAAGCTCAAGGACATGCTGGGAGAGCTGCACCGTAACATAGCAGCCGACATAGGCGTGTTCCGAGACGAAATTAGTGGAGTGGTGGCCTGCCTGCAAAACGCGGAGCTTACTACTGCCGCACAGGAATCCAGACTGGTGTCAGTGGAGCAACAAATCATCGCCCTACAAAAAAAAAAACCACAAAGGCAACACCAAAACAATATGGCAGCGCTCGAGGACAGTAGGCGCTGGAATAATGTTAAAATCCACGGCCTACCAGAAGCGGTCGAGACCGCAGAGCTGCCGCATTTAGTCCACAGAATGCTCAACACGCTCTTTACGACCAAACAAGCCAAAGGGATGGAACTGGATAGTTGCTTTCGACTCTCCAGACCATAAACCGGCACACCGGAGAAGGGGAACAATGTAATCATCAGATTCCAACAAGGCCGGGATCGCCAGACATTCATGGCGGCCTTGCGCGGCAAAACCCCTCTCAACTTTGAAGGCCATTCCCTAACCTTCTATCCGGATCTGTCCAAAGCCACCATGGCCTGGAGAAGGTCTTTCCGACCCCTGACCACAGAACTCATGACACAATATACCCTATCACTGGTGCGCACCCAATACCCTGATCATACCCAGAGACACTGGTGATTTAAAACTACAAGAAGCTACCGAAATACCTGATATCCTGCAACAGCTCGCATTGGAAAAGCAAGCACCGGGTCCAATGGCCCACTACTCTTGGCATATATACATTATCTCTTGAATGTTGATGTAAGCATGAAACATTTTTATTACTTGCTCGCCTAACCCCTCTCCCCCCGTCCCCCTTTATAATCCTCTGAGAAAACGGCTGTTATCACTGACCCAGGAGTCAGAGAAGGGGACATAGGCCTCTATAACCCGCTCCTAGTTCAACAACCCTGGTTAAACCTAATGTTTAAAGAGGCGACCGTTACAAGGTCAGGACGCATCACTTAAGCAGGAGCTGCACGCTAGACATCTAACGGTAAACAACTTGTAATAGTCCCCTTCATACTATAACATAAAATGTGCCGTGTTATTGATGCCAACCACAATATACCTTTGTTTGAAAGAAACTACTTGCATCAGCTGTTGTGGCTAACCAAGAATGTATGTACAAACAAAATAAAGAAAAATTAATTTGAATTACAAAAAAAAAAAAAAAATGTATTGCAAATCAAAATATAAACTCCTAAACTTAAGTAAGGGAATCCATAATGGTTTCTTGGCTGGTTTTAATGCTTCAAATTGCAAAAAAAATAATTTTTTGAAAGTTTAAAAGGACATTCCAATTTTACTTGCGTTCAGCCCCCCACACACCAGAAATACAAGTCTTGTATCCTTATAGAGGGAATGGTGTAGCATAAGCGAACAAAAATAAGGACACTTTGGAGGCTGTTCATTAAATCGCCAACAGCAGCCAGATGTTGAGTTTTCACAGTTTGGAGATAGATAATATATATAACATCTGGCTGCTGTTGGGCATTTAAGGAACAGTCCCCAAAGTGTCCTTATTTTTGTTCGATGCTCGTATTAAAGGATCACACTAAGCATTATAACCGCTACAGTCTGTGGTAGTGGATATGGTTCCAACAGTGCACATGTAAGTAGTCAAACTGGACTAGAGGGCCAGCTGAGGGGTCTGTGACTAGCTCCCAGTGGATCCCAAGTATGAAGTCTCACACCACTGGCACACAGTTTGACTTCTTATAGGAGTTGGAGTGGTTATGGTGCGTGGAGTGTTTCTTTAAAAGGACACGGTTTAATCTCATTGCATTTTATACCATGGCACAAAAGAAGCAACAGTCAACACCCCCTTTCCTGCACAAACCAAAAAAAAAAAAAAAATTTGCCAAAACTATCTGACACACTTTGAATATTCAGACATCTGTCTAAGCGGTCACATCTAGGACCAGCCCTGTGCCATTATTCAGTCTAGTAATCGGTTATACATGTAGCAAGCACAACAATTAATTCCTTGTACTTGTTTGTTTAACAGGGCTCCTATTACTGAAAGGTGAAACTCATACGCATTGAATTTCATTTGTCTCTTCAATTGTACACGGTGTATTATTTAAGCTACTGAAGAATATAGATACAAGAAAACAAGCCCTACAAATCACATGTTGGTCATCCAGGGGGCAAGTTTATTAAGTATAACACTGTCTAACACCACAATGGATCAACAGTGGGGCATTCATTGCTTTTAGTGTACATATGGGTCTTACATTTGAAGGGGAAATTTGTAAAGTGAAACATTGCTGGACCTTTTCATGTTGCAAACTACTACCTACCCATCTATGGAGCGTTAGGATTAGAATTTACTGATTTGACTGGATCTGCTAATTATTTACTAGAGAACCTCTTCTGAGGCTCACATACACTATGAGATCACTGGATAAGAAATATAAACAGATATGAAAATTCCTTTAATATTAAATTAAACTTGGGAAATTGTGCAGACAGTGAATATATCTATATATTGCTTCGCCTTAAAGGAACACTAAACCGTTAGGAATACAAACCCCACACTTTACGTATTAAATCCTTCTCTGAGCATAGTGAGCATTATTAAAGGGACACTATAGGCACCAGAACAACTACAGCTTATTGGATTTGTTCTGGTGAGTAGAATCATTACCTTCAGGCTTTTTGCTGTAAACACTGTCTTTTCAGAGAAAATGCAGTCTTTACATTACAGCCTAGTGATAACTTCACTGGCCACTCCTCAGATGACTGCTATCGGTGCCTCCTTGGGTCAGTGCTGCACAGTGTGACTGACATTCAGTTTCTCCTCCCTCTGCATGCAGACACTGAACTTTCCTAATAGAGATGCATTGATTCAATACATCTCTATGAGAAGATGCTAATTGGCTAGGGCTGTGTTTGACTTGTGCTGGCTCTGTCCCTGATCTTCCTCCTTGACAAGTTCAGCCAATCCTATGGCATAGCATTGTGATTGGCTCTGAGAATCATATCTGATGATGTCAACCAAGCAGGCAGATTAGGGGCAGAGGAAGCAGCTGCAGACAGATTTTACTATATTTGGGGATGCAATTGGGGGTGGGGGGGCAAGATGGTGGTTTTAACACTTTAGGGTCATGAATACAAGTTTGTGTTCCTGACCCTATAGCAGTGATGGTAACCTTGACACCATAAATTGATTCTGGACTACATTTCCCATGATGCTCAGTTAGCTTTTAGACTCTAGCCATCACTGCTCTATATAGTTCCTTTAAACATAAGATACATGGTGGTTTCTAGAAAGGGAAAATCAGCACCAATCACTAGGGCTGTGCAGCTGTTATTTGTATATAAGATTGGATGGAATTGGTTTATTTAAATAATGTGTCTAGTCAGGGTTGAAGGAAAATGTGACAGACTGTAATAATATTTAGACATAAATAAATGTAACTACCAAGTCTATTAGCTACTTCTATGCTCGATCTAAAACCAACCCCTTGAATTCATCAAGTTCTTTTTTAAGGCATTATGGTCGGTTAGCAAAGCAACCCTGCGCGGTGTCAACATTCCATAACTAAATAAACAACTAACATACAAAATATACATTAAACAGAATTTCTTCCCTTTCAACCTCAGCATTTCCCCCAAAAAGGAAGCTGAAATTGATCATCTTTTTATAACGCCCAACTCTGGCAGGGATTAACCTGTTTTATTTCATACAGATTTATACAGTTTATTTAAACACAGACAAACATTATATCAAACATTACATCTATAACTCTACAACTAAGAAGTTCGGTTTCTTTTCCATCCTTTGCAAAGTAGCTTGATGGGGTCATATGCAATAGGTCCGGAAAAAGTAAAAGATACAGTGGAGGGGCTCACAGTAGTGTACAGACCCAAAAGGTGGGGCATTTAACCTTTTAACTAGGTAGCCAAATGAATTGAGCTGCATGCCATTACAGAAGGCGACCTCTGCAGTCTGTAGATCCACAGCAGCATAACAGTTTCTTTCCTTCTACACTTCCAACCTCGTAGTTATAATCCCAGGTCAGCTCTGTGCCGGCTCTTATCCTCCTGCAAGAAGAGATACAAGAGAGTCAGAGAGAGTGTTGCCTAGAATTGACATTATCCTTCCAGCTGCTAAGAAATGAACACGGCGTAAAGAATGCTTGCCTTCAGACTAACGTGTGAACTGCTGGAATGCAAAGTGTATTTAAATCTTAAAGGGACACTGTAGGCACCCAGACCAACATTGCCGAATAAGTCAAATATGTTAAGCATTTGGCTATTTTGCCCAAAACTTTGAAAATTATCTTTGCATTTTCACCAATGCACATTTTTGGGAAAAATTGAATGGTCCTAGGTTTCCAGTGCTTTTTATTTTGTAATAACATGCATCTGTTTTTGTGTTTAGTTTAGTAAAAAGTTGGGCACAACTTTAAAAGGGGGAAGAAAGCCAATTTTCGTCCACTATTTAATTGTATCATCTCTTTACCCAAAGTACCCTTAGACCAGGCTGATGTGTATGAGATTTGCATGTTAACAATTTAACGGTAATGTTAAACCTTCTTACTTGCTAGCAAAGAAAGCCACCCATGGAAAGCGCAGGTCATGTGTGTCCACAAACACATTCTGTACGAACAGGTTAGGGCTGCAGCTGTGCTGTAATGGGACAGAAGAGTCAGTTCTGAAACGTATTGGGTAGAAACATATCAATATAGTAACTTCAAACCAGTTGTATATAAAAACCAGAAGGGGCGTTTTACTCATCAATTAAATAACTACATTTAAACATTTCTATTTTAGATTACAGTAATGTCAGACAGCGCTCACCGTAATATGAATATCGTTTAAAATCTAGTCATTGGCTAGTCCAGCAAGTGCATTTTTCTGCTACGTTAAGATTTGTCTGGTTAAGATTATAGGCTTCCCAATGAGAAGCATCTGATTGGTTATTTCCACGTAAATAAACTGTTAGTCTCTTCCAATGAATAAGGGGAAGGCTTGCAAATGCTGCAGCTTTTACAAGCTCTTTTAAGATATACCCCTAACCAATACATACACGAAAAGGCATGCACTTATTCATTGGGGATAACCAACCGACTACATATTGACCTGCACCACTTTCAGCAGTGGAGTGTCCTTTTAAAACCCCAGGTGGACTGCAAGCAGAGCTGAAAAGGTTGGTCATCAGTAGTCATCCTTTTGCTGTGTTACATTATTTTGCCATTGTGTAAGGGTGCGGTAATATAGGTTTACCTATATGTTTATAGGAGATTTTGCCAGAACAATGTACACCCAACTAAAGGTAGTTTTTCAATGGATGTGTATTGTAGATAACAGATTTATTATAAAGACACTGGTTTCTAGAACCTAAAGGATAGCTGATCCTCCAAAAATGAGATCCAGAATGGACAATTTGTTTGGTAACATTCATTAAATCAGTGAACATACAGGGGCGGGAATGTCTGCTTACAGCCTGTACTGGCTATAAATAAATAACAAGGATCACACAAGTAAAGGCTACATGTACAGTAGCACATTCTGAAAGTTAAAGGACTTTTAAAAAGGTTTTTAAGTCCTGGGTCTGAAACCCAAAATTGTCTGTCCATTTGATTTCATTGGATCACCTATAGGTGAAATATCAAATCCAACAAGCT